ACTCACAAAATATCCCGGATATATATCTATGCTCAGTATATGCTCTGCATAAAATGCATTCTGACTAAGAAGTCAACTTAGATTGAAGTCATTTAAAGTTGATTTGCTTGATTTTTCAGTTGATTCCAATCAGTCTATGTATTTCGGATGGATATCCATCCGAGATATTTTAGAATATCTGGATATTTAACGCAACTGCACAGAGGCAGAGCTGTGTGCGTCACACATATAATCTACGGTATGTCGCTACACGTAAAATACAGACACAGTGTGACTGTGTACGTGTGGCACTTGATACACATATACGTCGCGACATACCGTAGATTTTATTTGCGACGCACACAGCTCTGGCGCTGTGCAGTTGCGTTGAATATCCAGATATTCTAAAATATCTCGGATGGATATCCATCCGAAATACATAGACTGATTCCAATAGAGATAAAATATAACTCAAATCAACTTCAATCATGGCTATAGCCATCTAACGTCCCAAATAGTCTTCTGTTTAAAATCAGAAAAATATACGACTAAAGTTTCCTTTTTTTCCACACGGGCAACATTGTGAAAAATTGTTTGAAAACTATTTCAGTTCGAAGGTCACAAAAAATTAAACCAAAAATATATTTTTAAAATGTTTGGTTTTTTCCAGACCATTTGACTAAAACATGACACGTTTTTTCAAATGTAACACAAATGAAACTCAATTGCTTTTAAACATTATTTTGATTTTATCGCATTACAAATTATTGAATTTCCGAACTCAGTCTTTTTACTCAATTTCATATTATGAAAATAGTGGAACTCGAGACATTCATACCGAAAGTCTCATTTAAATTGTTATGATACCTTTTTAAGATATCCGTTTAACGTTCCTGAATAAAATGGCACATTCTTCAGATGTCAACCGAAATAACATAATTTTATTTGAAAACAATTTTCTCAACAGTTTGCGTCCAATTTATTTCTTTTCACGCGTATTTGGGCAACTCTCGTTTTCTATAGTGATTCACCCAAATGGTGATATTAAAAAAACTCGCGTTAAAGTATTCGATGTATTGTGGTTTCTGATTTCACTGTGTCTCTATACATTTCTTATTTGGTCTTTTCTGCAATATCTTGCACTATCTAAATACCACAGAAGCATTTTATATCTTTGTATTGATATCAATGTCGTTCTCCATTTACTTTTGATAATGATGATCATAATAATGGATGTGTACAACCGAAAGCGTCTCATCGATATTTTAAAAAAAATTACAACTTTCGATAAAAAGGTATGTGAAAAATGAATAATTATTGCAGACACTCAGAAATGCAATTTATTTTCAATTTTGAAGGTCGCCAAATATGGAGTACATCTCGGTTATAAAAAGAAGAGTCGAGAGACTTTAATTGTGTGCTTGATTAGTTTGGCTATTTTTATTATCCCAATCATTTTCGGATTTTTTACACGCGAAGCGAATCGTAATGGCATTGTGCCGTTTGAAATTTATCGATTTTTTGGTATAGTCGGTTTGGCTGGATGTTCATTGTCTATATTTCATTCAAATTATGCTGTACTCATCTTTCTCCTTTGCGATCGCTTCGATATTCTCAACTCACTGCTAAGGTTTGATGTTCAATACGACATTTGATTATTTGTATAAAAAATTCTTATTTTCACAATCAGAAAAAACTTATCGATGAGTGCAGTTACAAACTTGCAAAACATTTATAGTAAAGAAAAGAGAATTACGTTCGTAAAATTTGTTGGTGGCCAGCATGACATGTTAACAGGAATAATGGACAAACTTAACCGTTGTTTTTCGTTGCAAGTACGTATGATTATTGGCAGCCCCAGACGTTTTGTATTCGCTCAACGTGCTTTTTCTAATTTTAGATAATGATTCATTTTGTCAT